CTCCCCCCTCCACTCCTTCTGTCTTGCCTGCCTGCCCCTTCCCAGGACCCAGGCCACTGGCTTCCCCACCCTCCCCTCACCCCCTTCCACAACTCTTTTTCCGACCACTCTGTCTGAGCCACATTCAAACCTTCCCAGTCTGCACAAGATCTCTAAGGGAGCCCACAGCCTCAGTCTTTCCCCCACGAGTGGAAATGCCACTGCAGGCCCCATCTGGACACAAGCAACGAGATGCCAACCTCCAGATTCAAGTTTCTTCGGATTTTTTTTAATTATAATTATTATTTTAATAACAACCTGAATCCCAGAACTCGCAGACTGTCCATATTCCCTCCCCTGGGCAGAGGAGAGGGGGTACTTTGAGGGAATGAGGTGGGGATGGGGTGTCTGCCAGGGAGACTCCAACGCCCCCAGCCATCTACTGCCAGGGGTCCCAGAACACTGACACCTCGGGAGGGAGGAGGGCTCCATCTAACACCCCATCCTGAAGCCCTCCCTCCTCCTTCAAGGCCTGGAGATGCCGCAGCTCAGTCCCTGGGCACTAGGGGGAGATTGAGGAAGAGTTGTGGGGGGCGGGGACAGGCCAATTCTGAGCCTTCAACTCCCATCCCCAGGGATCAGGAGGCATTAAAGCTGCATAGGAAGAGGGGGCAGGCAGCTGGCACAAGGCCTGGCAGCTGTGGGAGCCCCCAAAGGCACATTGTGAGGGAAGGGAGGCTCAGACGGAGGGCCCATTGGGCGCAGGGGGCCCAAGCCGCGGGACCCCCGAGGAAGGCAGCTGGGCCAGCTGCTCGGGGCTGGCCAGGGCACGCAGCAGTCCATTCTCCTGCTCCAGCGCGGCATTCCGCTCGGCCAGGTCTCGGATCTGCTCCTTCAGCACCTCCACCTCTTCCCGGACCGCAAACATGAGGTGGGACTTCACCAAGTCCTGGGGGCCCGGGACAGGCAAAGGGTCAGGGGTCCCAGGCCACCCCAACTGCCCAGTGCCTCCAGGGTCTGGGTGTGAGAGATGCCCCTGCTCCCAAATGATGAAGGACCACAGGAGAAGCAGCAAAGCAGGGAAGCGGTGGGGAAGGCAGGGGGCACGGAGCGGAAAGAGGGGACAGAGACAAAGTTAGGGCTTAAAGACAGAGATGGGGGCTGGGTCAGAGACCAAGGGAAATCAGGAGTTCAGGTGGAGACAGGAGGGGGTGAAGAACCCAAGGGAACCCAGCTGGGAGTCAGATGAGGAGCTGGAAGTTAGTATTCCCTAATGAGGACAGCAGAGGAGGGGCAGCAGGACATGAGCTGGGACCACCTGGGACCAAGATGGCTTCTCTTACCATGGCTTGTTCGATCTTGTTGTCAATGCCAACCAGGCTTCCGGAGCCGCTGGGGAGACACAGGGAGATGAGAGGTGAGGGGGAAGAGCAGGTGCCAAACCAGGTGTCTGGACACCGCAGCCAGCTGCCCTATGGGTCCTTCTCAGAGCAGGCTCTGGCCTCCTCCACAAGCCCCATTCACTGCAGCCTCCCACCCACACCCCTGTCTGTACCTGTGACAGTAGAGAATCAGGGAGAGGAGGGTTTTGTCCATCCCCCGGCGGGGTGAGGGCCGCTGTCCAGGCCCCCCCAGGCCCCGGTGAGGCGGGGGTGCAGATGCCCCTCGGATGGGGGATGCTCCCCGAGGAGAGCAAGGAGAGGAGACACAGCCCCTTTTCCGGGGAGGCCCTGGAGCCATTCCCACCACTCGGGTCTCATACGATGACACCAGGGACTTGACAGAGATGCCTGGCTGGGCCATTCCCAAGGGAAAGGGCTTTAGGCAACCCCCAGAGGGAGAGGGCTGTATCAGATGGACTGCCTGGGGGGCTCAGAGCCCCCCGGGGCAGAGCGGGGTCTGGCTGGTGCCAGGCAGACGGAAAGGAGACAGTGCCTAGGGGGTGCTGGTCTGAAAGATATACACCGCCCCCCAGGGCAAAGCCTGGCTGCTATTGGCTCCTCAGGGACACGGGGACCCCCTCCCACCAACCTCCATGGTGGGCGGGAATTCCCAGACACGGTCAGTGCCAATGTCCCCTTCTCACCCTGGCACCAATCCCAGAGCAGAGGGAAGGGGGCAGGCTGAGGGAAGTCAGCTGGTGGGCTGGGTCGGGGGAGGGACTCTGGGGCCTGAGGCTTGGGTCAGAGAGGGGTGTGAAGGGTGAGGGACAGCCTGGCCTAGGGAGACGTCCCCACTTCTCCACCCATCCCATCCCCTCTGAACTAACACTGGTCTCCCTCAAGCCCTCAGCTCCACTCTGCTGGGATGGGGGTGGGTGGTGTGGTGCTTCGGATTAACTTGTCATCTTCCTTGGACTTGTAAGCACCCCCTGCCCCAGACACAAAGCCCACATCATGGGTGACCCTGGGGCCTGGCCAGAAGGTCTCTGAGGGAGAAGAATGGAAAGGTTACCAAAGCAATGAAAACAGAGCCCTGATAAACAAGCACAGCCTATGGATCTGGAACCGGGGTCTCGGGTCTGGGGTCTTGGAGGGAACAAAGACTTGAGGGGAGGTGGGAAAGTGAGGCTGGAGATGGGACATGGAGAATTGGAGCAAGGGTTTCGAAGGCCCTTGGGAGCCAATGATAGGGGAGAGCAGACCTGGCTGCAGTTTGTTAAGCGGCCACCAGAGGTCGACTCAGGCCTGGCCGAACGGTTCCAGGGCCGGCCTCAGGATCCCTCAAGCAAGTCTTGCCCCTCTGAGGCCAAGGGAGGCCAAGAGTCTGCACAAGTCTTTCCGCCTCGCCCTATCCCCCAAGTCTCCCTCTTGTCACCACTTGGGTCTCAGCCTCCTGCTTCATGCCCTAGCTCATGACCCGCACCTGACCAATCTCTCCCTCAGCCACCTCAGCCCTGGGGCCACCTCTACACCCAGGCCCGCCCCCCCTTGTGCTGCAGGATCACCCATGATCCTGTCCTCCAGCCCTCAAGCTTTGCCCCCCTCAGAGTGGGTGATCTCAACATGCGGCATCCTGCACTCCTGTGCTCCGGTTGCAAGCCCTTTCTCCTGACGGTCGGTTCCAACTCGCTTCCCTGTGGGGGGAATTAGCACTCAATTCAAGGTGACCCTTGGATGAGGCCCTGCAGCCAGGAAGGGAGCACAAGGGAGCTGGGAATTTTCCATTTCCTGTCCAAGCTCTGGGTGCAGAAGGCGCTGACAGGTGGAGTAACCAAGGGGGTGACAGGGCCTGAGAGAGCAGGACAGGGTGGGATGGGCGAAGGACACCAGGGACTCCTGGGGTTGGGGGGACAGGACAAGTTTAAGAGTGGAGGGTGAGCCAGCCAGCTGGAGAGCCATGGCAATTTTCAAGCTATTTCAATCTGAGACACCTGGGTGGAGCCTGGGCCACCACAGGTCACCGCCCCCTGCCCCCCTCCCCAGTACACACAAGACACACAGAGACCAAAGAGGGGAAGATTCACAGGAATAGGAACACTGGCCTTGCTTGGCGGACACTCAGGTAAAGATGCCAAGTAAGTTGTTTGTTCTTGCCAGAAATAAAGGAATAATACAACAATAAACATTTGTTGGCTGATAGATGACTATCTCCTGTTTGTCTAGTGCCGGAGAATTTTTGACAGCACTTTCCACTGTCACATTCTAACGTTAATACTTCAAGGGACCAGGACTCTGGCCGGCAACCCAAACGCTCCCCTTGAGAGCGCCCAGAGCAAGCAAGCTGCAGGCACTGTGCCGGAACCCCTGGGCAGGGCCAGGACCAGGAAGCTTGAAGTTAGCTGGGTGGGATCAGCCCCCACCACAAACCCAAAAGGCGACTGTGTGAATTAGAACAAAATGCTCCCCTTTTCAAGACACTTAGTGCCATCTTTCAGAAAACTCACATGACTTCCAAGTTTCGACGACAGTGATTTCAAATGTGAGTGGCGCCCCCTGGGGTTGTGCATGCATGGTATGCACAACTGGGGACTCTGGCTCTGTGGGACCCTTGGGTCTTGGGGCAAGGACAGCCCTAGAGGCTGGTCTTCCTTTTTGAAGGTCAAATGAAACATCCTCAAAATGAGGACCAGATGAAGAAGCGGGACACCTGGAAGAGGTGGAAAGGTTCTGATTCTGGGGACAAGGGCCAGCTCTACTCCCTAGCTATGTTCGGAGGAGCCCGCAGGGGATGGGCCTGAGGCCAACAAAGTGGCATCCGGCTGCCCTCTCTATACTCCCTCCCGGATCTGTGGTGCCTTTGGGGTGGGGCCAGGCCAGAGTGTGTGTGGAGGGGGGCAGGGGGGTTGGCTCCTTGCCCAGCTTGGGAGAGCTGTCCCTGCCTCTGTCCTGGAGAGAAAGGGCATCCTAGAGAGGGCTGCCTCCTCCTCTTCTCTTGGGACATAGGCATCCCAGTAGGAGAGTGGAGAATGTGGCTTTGGGGTCAGACCCAGGCTCCGAATGCAGTCCTGTCACTAGCTCGGTGACCTTGAGTAGGTTTCTAAAACCTTTCTTCTCTGAGTCTCAGTTTCTTCATCTGGAAAGTGGGGATCATGGGGTTGCTTTAGTGAGGTGAGAGGTAGCACCTGACCCAACAGAGGCACTAGATAAATAAATGTACTTTTTCTTTCCCAAGTCCCTGGGATTCATTCCCTATAATGCCTGGAATCCCCATGCAGGCCATCAACCCACACATTCCCTCATCCACCCAACTATTTATCCATCTATCCACTTATTCAAGTACCTTCCAACTGCCAGGCCCTGTTGTGGACACATGGTTCTTGCCACCCAGCAGTACATGAGCAGTCTGAATTCACCAGGCACCCTCTGTTCTCCCATCCCCAGATTCTGAGATTGGCAGGCACCCCCCATTCCCCATCTGAGATCCAGGCACTCAACTCCCCAGCCCACTTTCTCTTTGAAAGGGAGGTTCCATGCCTCTCAGACCCTGTTCTCCTGCCAGCTCTGGGCACACCAGAGAGGTGAGGTGGGGGCCACATGGCTCATCCCAGGGGACCAAGGGGAATGGCCCAACCCAATCCTACTGGCCCAGCAGGGTGGGGCAGGAGAGGGGCTGGGCTGGGCCAGGGCCCCAGAGGCTTGGAGTGGAGCAGGATAAAGTGAAGCCTGGGTGCCTGACCGGTCAGACTGGGGTGTGGGGAGGGAGTGGGACAGAGGGAGGGAGGGAGGGGACAAGCCAAAAGAATAGAGCTGAGGAGGCTCCTGGAGGCAGAGCCCTCTAAGAAGGAGAAGTAGGAGGTTGGTTCTGAAATCAACATGGGTGGGGAGGGACAGGGAGCCCTCATGCCAGGGAACCTCCCAGTGGGAGGGAGTAAGGGTGGGAAGCTCTGAGAATAGCAGCCATGGGGGCAGGTGACTCCCCGGCCCTGGCCAACCTCACACCTCACCTCATACATTCCTGAGAGCGGGGGAGCCCAGAAGCAGCAATGCCCTGCCCCACTGTGTCCCTCACTCTGGAGGAGCCACCACCAGGCCCCTCGCCCTCCATCCCACTGGCTCCTGGCCACCCCTTCTCTTTCCTCTCTGCCTCCCGCCTCTCCCCAAGGCCACAAGCCCTTTTCTTTGGTGAGACTTAGTCCCTGATTCGGGGTGGGGTGGCGCCATGAAAGACACAAGCAGGCAGGAGAGACTCTCTTCTAGAATAGGTCTCCCCATCACCCATAAAACTCAAGGCTAAGCCCCACCCCTTATTTCCTTCCAAACAGGAAGTCCCTCCCCCCAGAGCCTCAAACAGGAAGTCCCACTCCTCCCTCCAAAATAAAAGTGGTGACTCCCCAGCCTTTCTATCAGTCCCCAGCCAGAAGGGAGCTGCGTGCCTATCTGACTCGCAATTTCGTTCCTCCCTTTTCAGCTTGCTGACATTCCTATGTTGAAACCTGGCCCTCGAAACAGGAAGTTCTGCCCACCGTGCCGCCAAACTGAACGTACATTCTCCCCTGAAGGGCAAACTCCTGCAGATCCTGCTCTCCTGTGCCTCCCCTGTGCCCCACAGCCATCCTCTCCAGATTCTGGCTTGGTGGCTGCAGGGAGGACTCAGCCCTCCTGGTGTTCCGAGCACAGAGAGCAGAACCTCAGGGACGTGCTTTCTTGGCACTAGAAGTCCTAGGATCCTAAAGTAGTGTACACAGTGTCTAAGGATGTTACCTCCAAAGGCTGGCGTTCCATTCTCCTCAGTACGGAGAAGGAGGTGGGAACCCGGAGGAGACCCACTCCCTATTTGCCTCTCCAGCGCACTTGCCAGTAAATTCTTAGGGTTGGCCAAATGATCGCTAAATCTGCAAGAGCTCTGGAATTTGACAACAATGACTCCCTTCAAACTCTAAAAAAAAGTCTACGATTTGACAATCCTAAGCCAGGGAGTCCCACCCAGCTCTCTCCACAGAGAGGGAGTGGGTCCCAAATCAACTTTGCCCAGTGGTTGTGCCCAGGCCAGGTTTCACTGTTGAAGAGGTCCTCTCCAAGTTCAACTTGGGGGAAGGACACCTACCAGGCAGTTTCATGCAGTTGGCCCAGGTGCTGGGTGGAGATCCAGAGCCCACCTACCTATCATCATCGCTGTCCAGGTGGCCACTGATGGCCAGCATGGAGCGGGCCAGGCTGAGGCTCTGGGCTGCTGCTGCTCCAAAGGGGTCTGGAGACTTGTGAACCAGACTGGCATCGGGGAACAAGTAAAGGGCTGGGGAGCCGGGGCGAGAGTCGAGTGGGGGCACCTGGAGGCAGAGAGGTAGGAATCATCACATCAAGAGCAAGAAAAGAACCGGCCACCTTACAGCTTGCCTAGTAGTCTTCCTCATCTCTCCCCACATACATCCGTTCTCTTCCGAGGACCCAGGAGTCCTGACCCAAAGCCCTTCTCTCGCGCCCAGGTCTGGTGGAGGCATTAGGCAGGTATCAGAGGCAAGGGAAACAGTGTGCATCCCTAAGACTGGGTGTGAGTAGCTTCCAAAAAGTGGCTCACGGGGTACTAGAGTACTAGAGAGGGGGTCTGGCAGGCACTCCAGTACCCTTCCACCAGCTGAACCAGGACCCCCCAATCAGAGGCTAGTCGGAGAGTGTCTGGGCCTTCTGTCATCTGACTTACTAAAGCAACTCAAATGTCACTTCCTCAGAGAGGCAGTTCCCCATCACTGGACTAGTGAATTCCACTGAACTGTTCTATGTGTGTTTTTTTGTTTGTTTGTTTTTTTTATAGCACCTAATAGTATCTGAAATTAAAGTATTTTTGCCTCCCTGCTACTAAAAGGTAAGCTCTAGAGGGTAGAGCTTATAGTTTGTTCAATAACTATTTGTAGAATGAATGAATCCTCAGAAACTGGTCCTCCCCCCCCCGCCCCCCCCCCCCCATCTTTTCTAGTCTCTACTCTCAAACTTCTCAGATTCAGGTGAGGTTCTTGCTCCCACCTGGGGCCCTGGGGGGGTGGGGGGAGTGACAGGTTTCCTGGAGATGGGGGAGCCTGGGCATGGACCCACACAGCCCAACAGGCGCTGGGGGTGGCTGCAAAAGGGCGGGGGCCACAGGAACAAGACGCCTCTGTGAGGCCCCAGGAGGCCCCTGCTTCTCGGAAAAGCCAAGAACAGAGAGTCCAGAGCTAGAAGGACAGCAGAGGTCTTAGGTGGGTGGGGTCTCCCCCCGCCCTCCTCCCAGCCTCTCTCCTGAGAGAGGGGAGCCAGACTTCGGGGCACGTGCACACAGGATGTGGGTTGAGGAGAGGGGTCTGGGGGCACTAAGGACAGACGGGCAGGGTCTGCAGGTCCAAGGGAAGCTTGGCCAGGGCTTAACGACAGAGGGACTGGGGCAAGACTTGCTTTGTAACAGCATGGGACAGGGGACCAAAAGGAAACAGCATCTTCTCCTGGAGTAAGAACTGCAAGAAAGTAGGGGGCGCAGGCATGAGATGTGAGCTGGAGGCCGAGGGTGGGGAGCTTGTCCCGGACCGGTCCTGACAGGGCCCAGACATCCAGTCCCAGTGTTTTTATACTGTGGTTTGCGCCTGGCCATTGAAGGGGGAAAAGTTCTCTCATTCTCACACTCTGCCTTTTCTTCTGCAGTCCAAGGTGTTATTTTCCTTCAGGAGCAGACATTATCCATCCCCACACCCCTGGCTTTCTGCCCACCTCCCCTTACCCCAGGGACCTGAAGCATCCTGCCCCCAGCCCAGACTTGTTCCTCTTTTTGAGACAGGAAGAAAGAGCAAAGATTTAACTCTCTCTGCTGCTTCCTGCTTTTCTCCCATTCCCCAGTGGCCACCCCCAGTTATCAAATGTGTGGAGAGGCTCAGGGATGGTGGGTCCCAAGACACACAAGTCGTAACAGGGAGACAGTGGGATGACCACTTTCACTCCTCCCTGCCAACCTCAGCAGCTCCCAGAGGCCCGTTATCTGGCCCCACTGCATCAGAATTTCCACCTCACAATGCCTCAAGACAGAAGGTAAGGGCCAAAGTGAGGGAGGCTACATCTCAGGATGAGACAGACTTGGTTAGAAACGGAGACCTTGGGCCAAAGGTAACAACAAAGGCTAAAGAGAAAAGAAAGAAGGTGCAGAATGGAAGAAGGAGCCTGAGAAAGAAAAGAAAGGCTGTGGGGAAGGATGGGTTTCCCAGGGAAAGGGCAGAAGAGAAAGAGAGAGGCTACCTGATGGGACAGACAGGTGGGGGAGAGGCATGGAGGTGGAGGCAGGAAGGCCCAGGCTGGGGACCCAGGCTGATGGGCAAGCACTGTTCCTCAGGTGTTCTCCCCCACCCCAGAACCCAAATTTTACCTGCCCAGCCTCCTCTGAGCGACTAACTCCATCCTCAGCCGCAGGGCTCCATCCTTGACCGGGACAGGGAGGGGTCCCTGGCTGCTGAGCCCCCAGCCTCCGCTTCCACCCTCCCTCAGGGATGGTGGGCGTGGCAGCCTGGGATGGGTTCGCGCGTCATCCCCAGTCCGGGGCTCCTTGGGGGCGCTGCTGGGGTGGGGGAGGCTGACAGTGGGTGTTCTACTGTGGCTCCTACATGAGACAGCACAGCTGGCTCACTGGTTAAGGAGGAGCGGGCCTGGAGGTCCAGGGGAGGTGGGGGGCGGACGGAGCCAGGAGGTGGGGGCCCGAGATGCCTGGCTGTGAGTTGGGGCACCCAGGCCCAAGCTGGCCAGCTCAACCTGGAATCCAGAGATCTGCCCCTGCGCCTCCTGAGGCCCCTCGAATTTCCCAGGAGCCGGCCACACAAAGCCTGGGGGGCCAGGTCTCTCTCAAACATCCACACGTCCAACGGCCTCGGCGGTAAGGCTCTCCCGAGGCCGGGGAGCAGCTTTACCACCCGGAAACGGAGGTATGCAGGCGGTGGGGACATTCCGGGGTGCTCTGCCCCCCCTCCATGCTCGGGGTTGGGCTCCCCATTAGCAGTTGCAGTGGGTGGGGGTCTTAGGTGGGCAAAAGGCAGGGGCAGAACCCCCCTGGCCCCTGGGCCCCTCATAGTCCGTGGTGACGCTGGTGATTTGAACCACTCTTCTTCTGCCCCACCTCATGGTCCCTGGGGCTAGGGGGACTCGGCCAAGGTGGCGGGGTGGGGCTCCTCGAGGCTCAGGCACCCCTGGAACAGGGGGCCACATGGCGGGGGGCATCAGGCCCCTATCTGTCCGACATGGCCGGGAGGGCCCTGCAGGAACTGGGGGTGTTGGGTTAAGAAGGAGCACAGGGTGGGGAGGCGGCAGGAGGTGGGGGCAGGGGGCAGGAGCCCGCCGGCGCTGCCCAACTCCAGAGCTGAGTTTGCAAACTGGAAAAAGAGAGAGAGAGAGAGAGAGAGATCAGAGAGCAGGGCAGGCCACCTCCCCGGGGCTCTCCTCTGGGGAGCAGAATGGGGAGGAAGGGAAACCGCCAGAGACCCAGAGACAAAGAGACAGAGACGAAAGAGACCAGGAGATCTCCCAGCACAGAGTAGGAAGAGGCAGCCCAGACCCGCTGGGCATTTTCCCCGATTCAAACTGCAAGACCCAGGGGCCACCTGAGGGCGGGGGCTCCAGAGCCTTGGTTGAGCAGGGGTGAAGCAGTCTTTCAGCCTGGCCCCGCCGCTGAGAGGCCTCTGCCGGGTGTCCGGGCCCCCGCACCCCAGCTCCCCCATCCCTGGGGCAGGCCCTGCCCTGCTGCCCCAGCGCCCCGCCCAGAGGCCATACCTCGGCCTCGGCCACACGAGCTGGGCTCTTCTGGGGGTCCGGCCGCCTAAGATGTCGGGTTGTGTTTTCCCCTGGGGCCTCTTGGCCCCAGCAGCGCGGGGGGCGCAGGCGGGAATCAGAGGCTGTCCAGTTCTCTTCGGGGACCGCACTTTGCCCCACAAGGCATCTCGGTAAAGCTTGCTCTCCGGAAAGAAGGATCCCCCGCCTCCTTGGTGGAACCCAGGCGCGGCCTCTGAAGCCCCAAGGGTCTCCAGACCGGTGCGGGAAGAGGCGGCTCTGCCCCCCCCCCCCGCCCCCGATCCTCCAGGTGGAGCCGCCTGGGTGGTTGGGGCGAGTGGGTCTCCCAAAACTCCTCCGCGTGGCACGGCTGGGTCTCTCTTCGCTTCTCGGCTCCTCTCGGTTCTGTCTCTCTGCCTTTCTCTTTCTGGGCTGTTGACAACCCCCACACCAGGAAGTCCTGCCTCCTCGGGCCTGCTGACTGCTCCTCTCCTCCTCCTCCTCCTCCTCCTCCTTCCCCTCTTCCTCCCCTTCCTCCGCCCTCACTGCCTCCTGGGGCTCCTGGCCAGCTGGCCCGGGGCCAGGCCTGCCAGCACCGCTGCTGGTGGAGTTGCTGCTGCTGCGGCGGCGGCGGCGGCGGCGGCTGCTGCTCCCGGGGCCCCCAGAACCGGCTTAACCCCACACCTGCTGGGCCGTAGCCCAGCGCTTCCTCGGAGGGAGGGGCTGCGGAGGGCGGAGAGAAAGGGGAGGAGCTTGCGGGTAGGCCAGGGATTCCCTTACTTGTAGGCACTTGCTGCCATTGGCCTACCGATCCACAGAAGAGTGGGAAGGAATTTACCCGGGAGTCTACTGGGTGCCACCCCATAAGCACCCAGTCAGTGTTTGGGTGCTGCTGCAGCTGTTAATGTATCTTTACTGGTTTCTACAGTAACGGTATGAGGAAGGTCCCGTTACCCTTCTCTGTCCTTATTTTAAAAAGTGGATTATTATGACAATCTGCAAACATGCCCCCAAGTAGAGAGAATGTGATAAAGTCCCAGGTACCCATCATGCAATTTCCACAATGATCAACTCACAACCAACCTTGGTTCATCTATACTCCCAATATCTTCTGTTGCATTGTGCTGGAGTATTTGAACCAAACCCCAGGCACCGTAGTATTCCTCTTTTTGGATGTGGATATTGAGACCCTGGAGGTTCAGAAGGCTGTCAGTGGTGCAGCTGGGACATCCTGCACACTCAGGTGTGCCCTTGTCTGGCCCTCCCGTGGAGAAACAAAGATGTGCTCAGAAAGGTGCCCACTTGGACTTGCACTTTCTCTCCAACCCTGGTCACATATACATGTGTGCGTATGCACACACAGCTACCCACACAGATGCACCTGAAGACAAACCCAGGGGGCCTAAAGCACCCCACCTCTCCCATCCCCTCCCTCCTTCGCCATGGAGAATCCTCACACAGGCTTGAAGGGTTTACTGAGTGCTAGGTGTGAAAAAATAAGCCCCCAACCGCCATTTTCTCTTTTTTGGCACCCTCAATCAACCATCTGAGCAAAAGCAGTGTCTAAAGGCCACGACTGCCTTCACTCTTGGGCTCATTAGGAAATGGATTCTGATTCATTTTGGTCAAATAGAACTATTCTTGAGCACATTAAAAATTCCTCATATTGGTCGGCTTTACATAGTTATCTCATGGATTTTCAAAACATGAGGCTAAGCTGCAGGGTTTAGCTCCAGTGTTTCTGCCGAGGTAACTGGGGCTCCTAGGCATTCGGTTATCTGCCCTAGGCCTCGGAGCTAGTATTTGATGGCATGGAGACCAGGACTGGCTGACACATCCCCTTCTTCTTCAGCTTTAGCTCATGGAAATTTTTAACCACTCTTCAGGGTTAGGGGAAAAAAATAATGCCTCCTGCCTCCACGTTTATATATTTATTCTGTATTTCTTTATTAAAATGCATCTGCACTCTGCCTCTATCCCTCCATGGTAACAATAGCTACCACAGCCAGGTCCCAGGTCCTTCCAAGTCCTGAGGTCCAGGAAGCAGCCGCCCACACAAACCCCCCACTCCTCAACTCTCTCCCCTTTGGCAATATTCAGAACACCGCCCTGCTGCTCCGCCCCCAGATCCTCCTTCCTTCAGCGCTGACTCGCTACAAACTATTCGAAATTTATCTTTGGACGCTCCCCGGCCTACCAACTCAGACACTCAGCCTCAACTTGGACTCCTCCGCGTCTACAGGCCCTGAGACATTGCTGGTCCCGGCGCCAAATAAACCCGCAAGTGTTTATTGCATGAATACATAAAAATTCATTCACACTAAGGTGTAAATGTGAAAGGGCTGTTATGTATTTTAATGGGTTACCTTTTGGGGGGGGGGGCAATAATACCCCTTTAATGTATTTTACGACTTACAAATCTCCTTGTATTAATTCTTTTGCTGCCCCAACAACTTTATGGAGGTAAATATGAGATGAGGCATCTTTCAGAGAGGTTGTGTGATTTGCCCAAAGCCACACAGCACATCTGCAAAGATCTGCCATATAAGGTAACGTGCACAGGTTCCGGAAATTAGGGGTGGATATCTTTCGGGGGTCCCTTTTTCATCCACTTAGGGGTAGAGCCCAGGTCTTCTTGCAGCTAATGTGTGGCAAAGGGATTTCCGAGGGAGGATTCCTCCGAGCTGAAGGGAAATATGATGGGGGACTGAGGAAGTGGGCGCGAGCTCGCGACCCTGAACGGCCGCCTCGTCCGCACCCGGACCGTTGCTACGGTGGTCCCAGTCAAAGGTCGACCCCTGGGGCACCCAGGACCTGGCGGGCGCCGCTGCCGAGTCAAAAGTTACTGGGGAAGGATGATTTGGGCTCCGGGGGCGGACTGGAGTAAGCCTTTGAGCTCAGGCGGTGAAACGAGGTCCGGGCGCCCGGGAGTCTTCAGGGATAGGCGAGTCGGCTCCGGTGCCCTCCCCGCACCTGGGGGGGGGGG